CAGATCTCCAGATCGCAACAGTTTAAGGGGAGCTCAGACTGATGGAAAGCGGCGCTCAGGGTCACATGACCCATTCAGAGATGGATCGGCCCTCTGAGGTCACAGAGGAGAGTTTCTGAGGAGAGCAGCACAGAGGGAGCATCGATACACAGCAGGAGATGAACATGGAGCTGAAGGATCATTGGCTGGATCTCATAAATCAGGCTAAAGCTGGGGTCATAAGTAATGCTTTGTTATTTTAACTAATAAAACAAGTCATGTCATAAACTATAGTCTTTATAAGCAAAAAAAAATATCATACATGTTTGGCTGTGACACCATCCTGGAGAGAAATATCAGCTGTCCTGCTGCCATCAACACCTTTGTTTCTAGATGTTGGAGCTTGGCCTGTTTTTCAGTGTAGTCCTGTTTCTCTGACTGTGACTGGCTGCATGTGCTCTCTTCATCCTCTGATGGGAGCTGGTCTGCCTGACTGTGTGTTTCCTGGACAGGGTCGCCTGTGGAGATGGTTAACAGTTGCCTTTTGTATCTCTGCTTATTTCTGTATGTTTTCCTCTGGATTTTCGAACACCAGTTGGTCTCAGCAGATGGCCGCTCACACTGAGCCTGGTTCTGCTGGAGATTTTTCTGTTAAAAGGGAGTTTTTCCTCTCCACTGTCACTACAAGCATGCTTAGTGTGAGGGATTGACTTCTAGTCAATGAGTCGATGCAATCAACTGGTTTTCTGTAGTTAGAAAACTTTAAATCAATCTGACTGGATGATCTGGTGAACTGTAAAGTGCCTGAGATGACGTGTGTTGTGAATTGGTGCTATAGTAATAAACTGAATTGAATTGATTATATGTTGTGCAAAAATAATGTCCTGCAGATAATGAATAGATGGTTAACTAGAACTGGAGTTATAGTTAATTATTTATCCTATTCAGCATCAAAGGCAAAATCAATTTAGTGTTCTTAGGTGGATAATTATAGCCTTGAATTATCTACTTACCGGTTGCTGATTCACTTCTGGAGGGTTCCTGGACCGGGTGTTAAAATCCAGGTATCCACCAGTCTAGTGGCCCAGGTTAAGTTATCAGCAAAGCTATTAAATTATCAATAAAGAACCTTCTATCTCTGTTTATTTGCATTATTACCAAAAGGGGGTGAATTTGCGCTGAGTGATAAACCCTCCGTTATATGAATGACCAAAACCACTACAGATTAACCAATGATGTCTTTATTCTAATAATTCAGGATTACAGAAATCTAACATCTATGCAAACACTACACACTACTATAAAAATAAACACGAGGTAGATTAAATGACTAGTTTAAAAGAAAAATCGTAAATAAAGAATTAAACGAGATAGAAACAAAGAAATAAAACCATAAGAGTCCGTTTACTGGCGTCTGAGATGGTCCAAAATATGCCAGATATTAATACATTCACTAATGTCTGCTAGCAGCAGGTATGATAATAGTGCAATTACTCATTTAAACTAATACATCCAACTTAAAAATCAGCAAATGATTAAATGCATTGACAAAGCAGCAGGTATGATGATAACAGTGCAATTGATCCTGTAACATTAACACATCCAGCTTAGTATTGGTAAATTATTAAACATGTATTAACAATAGCAGCGTTTAGCAAAAACCCCTTTTTGCCTGGCAATGTAGCGATGTGTGTGAATGGGTGTAGCTAAATGGGGACCACCCCCCTTTGTTCTCCATGCAGTGAGGGGAAAGAAAAGAAATGGGGG